GGGAGAGGAGCGCGCGGCCTGAGTGCTGCCCGGGCTCCCGGGAGCGCGGCACCTACTCCCGAGGCTGCAGGACTCGAGTGCCCGGTGCTCCCGTTGCAAAGCCCTCTGAGCCTCCCGCGCAGCCAATCAGCTCGGGGCTGCGGCGAGCCGCACTCATTTAGCACGTCAGTCACCCGCGCAATTAGCCAATCGCTTCACTTGCAACAGGGTTCGGTTTACTAGAACTAAACACAGGTCAACACCCCTTAAGACACAAAATAAGAAATAAGTAAGTAAAAGAAGGGAAACAAAGAGAGGAAAAGGGGAAAATAAAAGGACGGGGCAATAGAAGTGTAGGGTGCATGAAGAGAATGTTTAACGCTGTAATTAACTTGCGTCGGGTCGGAGAGAAGCGAGGAATTTAACTGTACTTGCAAATCCATGAGATAATGACGACTTTTTTTTTTTTTTACACCTTTTCTTCATTTCAAACAACAGCCTACCAGACAAGCAGCTCACCTCTTCGGTTTCGTTCTCTGTAGCTGCGATTCAAAGACAAGTCGTTTCCCGGACAAACCGGGGCTCAGGAAGGCAGAAGCCACGGAGGTCTGCTTTTAAGTCCCCAGCGGGCCCGGCTGGGCTCCCGCAAAGACCAGAGAAAGGTGCGTGGTGGGGGCTGTTTGCTGGTTTTAAAATGCAGGACTTTTCCGGGCAGGATAACCGGATGGTGGCCCTCCAACAACACCGGAGGCATTAAGTACATGTTGTTCAGTGTGGTGGGAAATATTGTTTGCAAAGGTGTTAGCTTTGGGAGGGCAGTTAAAAAAAAAAAAAGGAAAAGAAAAAAAGAGAGAAAAAAAACTACTCAAGTCCCAGCCCGACAGCATGTCTGTGTGTGCAGGCATATCCACATTGACATGTTTGTGGTGTAGAAAGCCAAAACATTAAAAACACATGTGCACTTATCAGGGTGGCGTGTGTAAATATCAAATCCATCACTCAGGCACACATGCTACATTCAGAGTTGGCCCAGGAACGAACCTCCAGTCAAAACCAAGAGTCCCCATTACAGCAGACAGAAGGGGAGAGTATTAGCAGAAACACAGCTGGGCCTTCTCACCTGGCCCCCCAGGAACAGAAGTCTCCTTGCCACCCTCCACCTCAGAGTTCCTGGGAATTCTTTGTATGTTTCAAACATTGGGAGAGTTGGGAGTGTGACTATGACTGACCCCAGGGACAGGAGACATCAGCAAGCAGTTTAGGAAGTTCGTGGGTCTGAACTGCGTGTGCCCTGATGTGTGGGTGAAAGGAGGCAACGGATGCTGAAAACCCTGCATCTGAGGGGCAAATGGGCCACAGATCCTATTGCTTAAGGCAGACACTGTAGGAGGCGCTGCCTTGCCAGCCAGCTTGTTTGTAAGGCTCCAGGGAAGCTGGCTTTGGACTCTGCAGACCAAATTTTTGGATGGACAGATTCCAAGTAAAGCTACTTGAGTTTGTGAAGAAGCGAGACTATTTTCTTAAAGCACTCGTGCCCATACGGAGATTGTGATTCCACTGTGCATGCAAAACATGTCTGCAGATTCCACTTCTCTCGTCATTTCTAGGCTAATGAAAGGTGCACCAAAGCCCAGAGTTGCAGATGGAGGGACAGACATGGAGAGAGATAAAGCAATAGTTTGGATGGCAAAGGGTTAATCCCTAAACAATTGGTAGAGCTCAGCGGAGAAGCTGGGGAAGACATTCCTCACAGAGAACAGACTGCAGGAGACCAGGCAACTATGTTTCAACTCAAGGGGCATTTAGAGAAAAATGCTGTTGGGTAGGGGGTCCTTCCCTCTCCTCCAGCCAGGCCCTCAGTCCCACGCCAAATGTGTCTGTTTACTCCCTCCTTGGAAAGAGTTGTGTGAGTAAATAACATCCTCTCACCTCTGCATCCAGGCTTGGCTGGCCTCTCCTGTTTGCAGTTTCCCCAAATGGTGTGAGGACTTGAGTCTGTCCACCATTACAATTCTGAAATCCCTCCAGGCGACCGCACCTCCACCAGCCCTGGAGTCTCAGGTCAGGAGTAAATCTCACAAACCCACTCATGGGAGGCCCTAGCCTATGTCTGGTTGACCCCCATTGACTTTGATTGAAGTATGGTAGCAATCATCTCAGGTAGAAACTGTAGTTTAACTCTAACCCTGCTGTTTGGCTTAACAATAGAAAAGTTATTTTGATTTTCTGAATTATATAAATCATCCCATTCAATTGAATGCCTTATTGACTGTAATGTGAATGTCCCATTGATTGTGATCTTACTGGTTATCAAAGCACATTCTTCTGTACCTGGGAACCAGGACAGCGCAATTACTCTAAATTGCCTCGATGGCTCTAGATAATGTGTTCCTGGTAACTCGGTGGTCCCAAGACCCGAGGGCTCTAGATAATGTGTTCCTGTCAACTCAGTGGTCCCAGATAATGTGTCCCTGTCAACTCAGTGATCTGGAGACCCAAAACTATAATTAACATGCTTAATTCTGCTTCTGTAAACTGCTTTTTTTGCGAACCAGGTTCCTCATTCCAAACCTTGGGATGTAATCAATAACTTTGTGATTTTTGCCTATATAAATCTGGTGTTGCGGCCATCTTATCACTTCGAGATTTGGGAGAGCAAAATGCCCCCTCGGAGTCCCAGATTGCAATAAATGTGACTCTCTAATTCGACTTCTTGAGGCATCCTTCTGTGATTTGCGGGGTACATTATAACATGATCACCCACAATCCCCAACTCCCCACCCCAAGCCCACATGGTCTTACTGCCTTAGAAGCCTGGTAGGCCACGCTGGTGACACAACTGTCTCAAGGACAAACAGGGGGTGTGGGTGTAAATAAGACCCCAGAACCCTAAACCCAGTTTCTGGCTCCTTCCAAGGCCCCGCTAGAAAGGAAGGACTTGGTCTCAGTCCCACTGACAGACTTTATCCCACACCTGGACTTTTGCAGGATAACCACCAGTCAGTTCACATACTGTGCAAAGGCACCAGGCAAAAGGGCCTGAAAATTTTGTATTTTTAAAAAATATATTTTGATTGATTTCAGAGAGGAAGGGAGAAGGAGAGAGAGAGATAGAAACATCAATGATGAGAGAGAATCATTGATCAGCTGCCTCCTGCACACCCCACACTTGGAATTGAGCCTACAACCTGGGCATATGCCCTGACTGGGAATCAAACTGTGACCTCCTGGGTCATAGGTCGACGCTCAACCACTGAGCCACGTCGGCCAGGTGAAGATTTTGTATTTTAGCACTGCATAGAGTTTTGTGTGTTTTGTTGTTGGTGGTGGTGTGTTTTTTGTTGGTTTTTTTTGGGGGGGGGGTGTCCTTTTTCATATTGTCAAAACTTTGCACATCAAAGGTGGTGGTGGTGTGTTTTTTGTTGGTTTTTTTGGGGGGGGGGTCCTTTTTCATATTGTCAAAACTTTGCACATCAAAGCCCAGTCTCCTTTTTTCTAATGGCAAAAATATGTGTGTATAGAGGAGAAAATTCTAGGGCAATGGTTCTTTAAACATGCTATTGATGTGACAGAGCACCTAGAAACCAGGGTGCTTGAATATGAGAACAGGGGCAAAATACAACTTTCAACTTGTGTTTTTCATTGCAAAAAGGTTCTGATTTTCCCACACTGCCAGATGCCCATATATGTGTGTTGCCTGTTGCTTCATAGCATCAGCTCAAGGAGGTATTCTTCATTCTCCCTGCCACCCAAAGCTGACTATCAGGCCAGGCAGGGTCACTGAAGGGCCTCCCAGGTGCCTACCTGGTGGCCTCTTCCCACCCACAGAGCTCCTTCCTGCCCTCTCCTAGAAAAACTAGGGAGGAAGGAGGAGCCTTTCCACCCTGTCCCTCTTAGTCTGTTCCATTATCATATCATCACTGGTTTTATGACACTCTCCAAAGATATACTCAGAATCCGCTCCATCAGGAGTTGTACAGAGAGGTCTCCTGCCTGTGGTGAGGTGGTGGTGGCGGCTTTGGTGCAATGCAAATAAAAGCATCCTGGCCCAGGTCAGCAAATACGAAGTGTGGCCTCAGCTCTGCTTACAGGCTAGGTGACTCGCACTTCATCCCTCTGGCCTTAGAGTTCTCATCTGTAAATTAGAGATGTAATGCCTGCCCTGCTACCTCATGTAATAAAATACGTGAATTATCAGTAGCTAGTGTCAGTGAGGCACATAGGCTTTTAGTAAACTGTGAAATGTTTAAAGTGATACTCCATATATGACATCATGAAGCACACGAATGTACTTGCTTGGACTAGCTTCTTTTCCATTCAGCCTCTGTGGAGGTGCAGATATCATGCCCACCTTATTGATCCCGACCTCCCCTGACTCAAGAACTGTCCTGACCTGCTGTCTGGGGTTTGGGAATGTCTA